GGCATGGTTGCTCTCTCTAGGGCCATTCTCAGGATGGTGTGGGAGAAATAGGGAGGGAGGGAGAGCGGCATGCAGAATCACAACCAATGAGCCTTGTGTTGATAGAACGTACGGGGACATGATGGCTGCGAGACAAGGAACTCGCCTCAAGTCCCCAAGTCCGTGTGGTGGTCTGGAGGAGGAGGAGTAATGGACCGCTGCATGCAGAACCACAACCAACGAGTCTTGTGCTGATAGGGCCTGCGGGGATGTAATATCGCTGCGAGACACGGAACTCGCCTCGAGTCCATCTTGTACTCCTCGAGTCCATACGGCGCATGAGTGAACACGAACTGAGGCTGGAGTGGTGGGCATCGTTTCTCTGTGCCATTCTCTGAAGCGTGTGGAGAAAGAGGGAGGGATTGCGGCATCCAGAAATTTGGGGGCGAAGGAAGAGATTGCGGGTATTAACATTCTCTCACAGTAGGAGCTCAAACAACTGCTCCTTGTAACTCCACAACAATCGTGCATCCATAGACAAGAGGGCCACAGGCATACTGATGTCAAATCGCTTGTCTGTTTAGAAACATAGGATCAGAGGTACTGAGCCTTCGATGGTGGGCAAGGAACACATGGAGTTGGGGGTGATTTCGCAAACTGCGAGTGTTCACGGAATCGCGTTTTCCGTGTAGAAGTAATGTGTTCACTGTCGACGCTTTCGTAACACGCTTCGCTCTCATCCGGATGGTGGATGTGCGTGTGTATGAACACGTGCACAAAGCATCGTCGCTACAAGTATATGCATGGAGATGCATCTGACAGACCATCCCTACACGTATATGCATCGAGATGGATTCAACAGTTTTGTCAGTTGATTATGAATAGATATGCTAAAAAGGAAGGGCCCCATGAGACGCAGAATGACATGGAAAAGGGCAGGAAGAGTGTTCACGGAATCGCTTTTCCGTGTAGAAGTAATGTGTTCACTGTCGATGCTTTCATAACACACTGTGCGTTCATCCGGATGGTGGATGTGCCGCATGTGCGTGTGTATGAACACGTGCACAAAGCATCGTCGCTACAAGTATATGCATGGAGATGCATCTGACGGATCATCCCTACACGTATATGCATGGAGATGGATCCGACAGTTTTGTCAGTTGATTATGAATATATATGCTAAGAAGGAAGGGCCCCATGAGACGCAGAATGACATGGAAAAGGGCAGGAAGTCACGCGCGTGTGTGTGTGTGTGTGTGTGTGTGTGTGTGTGTGTGTGTGTGTGTGTGAGAGAGAGAGAGAGAGAGAGAGAGGGAGAGAGAGAGAGAAAGAGTATATCGGGCTGACGTGCCCCGACTTCACGGTGACATCGTCTATGCATTGCTTATGGGGAAAGACAGGGTACTACCAAGGGAAGAGACATCAGCACACAGAGAGAGAGAGAGAGAGAGAGAGAGAGAGA